AATAAATTCAGTAATTAATTCAGTTATTTGTGTTTATATTTTATGATTAATGTTTTTCAGTGATTGATAGGTTGCTCATTGAATTTTGCTAGATTTTTACCCTTTTGTTTGGATGCGAAACAATATCTAGTTGTTGAACAAGAGTATAGTTTTCGAGGTAATAATGAGTAAATTATTTGTATTCAGATGACAGGGTTGTTTTAGGATAATAACGCCCTACTGTTAGGATAGGAATCCACTTTATTTAGCTTTCGAAAGTTTTCTAAAAGGCCCTAAATGTTGGTGAAAAGGTTTGTTTACTTTCAAATAAATATCGATTGTCAACACTTACGAATCTCGTATTTTCCATTATTAAAAATTCTGCAACAACACAAATCACTTTAGTACATTTTAAATCGATTTTCCACTCTTATTTCCTTTATTTTTCGCATTTTCTAAATGTTTATTTACTCAAAATATAGTGGGGTTATAAGCCACTTGTGGATTCGTTTCTGGCAGCACTGTTGCCGACGTTTCTTGACCGCTGTGGGTAATAGGGTCACTGTAATTGTAATCCCTAAACAGTCACTGGTCGTTTTGATAGATTTTAGACTGAAGACTGGGTAGATGCTGATTAATAACTTCTATAAGCAATTAATTAGTGTTGATTGGTGTTAGGGGAGAAAATTTGATAACAACTTTGAGTTTTGTTGGTCATCATTGTGGTTTGGAGTGTTCCGTTTCAAGCTGATTGTGTTCCGTTCCAAACTGGGTGTTCCGCTTTCCTGGTCAAGACCGGAAATCTGGCACCAGAGGACATCTTAAGAAAAAAAAACTGGAATTCTAGAAAATTTTTCATATTGAAGCCTACCTAATAAATCGCTGAAAAGGGATCGTTCTCTTTTAAATTCGCACGTTGAGCAAATAACAAGTCCTTTGGCAGATTTTACCAGCAGTCCTCTTGGCAACGTTCCTTGGAACATCCACCTTTTTGTGGGATTTTGAAGACGCTGGAATTTCAAGTGGCTGCTGGCTTAAATTGGTTTTGGGGTGAAAGCTTTGGATTTGGTCGTACCCGTATTTGTAAGCCAACCACACAGAATTTTCTGGAAACGAAGTCTACGCCATTTTGTTGGTTTGTCGTGTGAAGCACTAGAGCACGTTTGTTCAACTAGCCCAAATTGTAACCAGGTAATTTTAAACGTTTTTATCATTCTCAAATTTACCTTTTCGTTATCAATATTTAGATTAACTTATCTGTATTTTTGTAAATATTTGGGATTCAATAAAAAAAGGAATTTGACCTCCATGTTCAATAAAAAACTCATTAATCGTTTTCCAAAAGGGGCATTAATGGGCTTATTAATTAAGGGTTTTTGTTTTGTTTAAGATAACGTACAGGTTTCAGGGGATTTTATTATTTAATTCCAAGCATTTATGTACCATTGGAGAGTTGGGATTTTTCATTTCATAAGTATGAAGGAGTTCTAAGAATTTGTGCTCTTTCAGGGTTCTCTGGATTGGATTTTAGTTTGGGTTCTACCTTACCTTTGGGTTTTCTCTTTGACGGTTTGCTGGTCTCGAAGCTGAGGTGTCAAGAGTGCCTACAGCACTGAATTGAAACCTAAAATCACATTTTTAAGAGGGAAGTCTATGGAAGCTTATGGGTCTGTTATCAGGGCTGTGATGCTGTCAGGAGGCAGTTATGTAAATGGGTGTCTAAACTGCACAGAGGACTACAAGGGGTGATGTACCCGTAAATTTATTAACATTTCTCAATTAATATTTTTAATTATTATTAATGGTATTTTCTTGTATTTACTTGGCATATTTCCAAGGTTGTTTTACTGCCTTAATTATTACAACAATGGGTGTGCAGTATCAATGATTTTTAATGTACTATATTTAAGGTGACATTTTGTACAAACCCGCTCCGGTATACCATGGTATAAGCGTGCACAGGTTTTAATTATCATTATCAACATCTTTATTAATTATTTGTTCTCTCTTGTTTCCATTGAAGTAAGGTGGTTAAATATTTCATTGGTAAATATTGACTTTATTAGAGTGCCTTTTATAAGACCAATACAACTTGGTCCTTGCTACCTGTTGGTAATTTTGACATTTACAGTTAATAATATTATGTATCTTGTGGCATTTTTTATATTGCCTTATATTGGTCTTTTGCAGTTTTGAACACATCCCCCCCCCCCCCCATTTTATTAAATAGATTTTTAATAATTGTTTTTAGATTGGACTCTTATTTTTATCCCTACTGGCCTCAACCACACTAAGGTAAAGCTGTTTTAAAGGATAGGTACATTGGGTAGGTACATTTTTATAGGAATTTTGTGGAGATCAGGGACTTTCTGGTTTAAGTCCGCGGATTGTATTTTGTAAACCAGTGGCGCCCTATTATGCTAACTTTAAATATTGAACCTACTCCCACACCACTTAGTAGCCGCGAGCACTTTGTTGCGCTGGCCGCATTCCTTAAAGGTGTCTTACTGTACCTAGGCCTATTGTGGTTTATTAATTTAAATTTTGTATTCAAATAGTTTAAAGGTAATTTTATGCGCAACAAAGAGAGCCTTGCAAAGTTAAGAGAAAAAACTACAACAAAATTCAATAAAGCCATGAGACACGGGCACTGGGAAACATACAAAACCACGTTGAAAGAGTTCAAGAAAGAGCTGAGGGGATCCCAGAGGGAAGTACTGTGAGGATATAGAAAGTACTCAAGATTGTGCTAGACCACAAAGAACTCTGTCAAACTGCCAGAAGACAACAATCAAATCACTCAAGAACAACCTTGGTGAATACACAAAGACAGGGGAAGCGACGGCTAGGGGACTCCTAAGACAATTCATTAATATTGAACTGTGATAAGACACAGGTATTTAATTTCTCCTTTTCTAATTCTCTAGAGTGAGTGTGTCAACCGAAAAATCAAAGTAACGCTACAAAATATATCGTTTAAATAATAGATAGATTTCTGTTCAGTATTTTCCTACGCAACATTTCTTCAAACTACATAAATATCTCATAATATCGATTGATTTTTAAATTTTCTCATCGTGTTTTATCTACCTTTCCGTTACAAAAGATAAAACTCCTGAAAAATGCTGTATTTGCTAAAACAAGAAAATCTAATATAGTATCAATGAGAGATTGAAAGATTGGGCGTATAAGTTATCGATTGAAATCATAATAAAGCTTATCTTTAAAAGGAAGTTTTTTGCTGATATCGCGTAAAATATTTTTGTTTTATAATCTAAAAAAAAAAATCAGCACAGTCAAAGAAAGATAAATATTGCGTTGACAAGCTAGATTTCACACAAAAGAGGAAATACTTTCGTTAGAATTCCAATTTGCATTCAAATAATAAAGAAAGAAAATGCATTATTTCAAAAGCCAAGTTAATGCCTTCTCAAATAAAATACTTCTCTCTGGCAGATTACTATTATAAGTTTTGTATAATTTTTGATATTTCCAAGCTGACACCTGTCCACTTGGAAAATTCCTTTTAAGCTATCTTGAAATTATTATCTGAAAACTGTAAATTTCAGTTTTCTTCCTTGATCTAAATGGGCAAACTTTAACAATAAACCCTCCAGAAATATTTATAGGGCACAAAGAAAAATCTAGCACCAGATAAGGGTGCGCAGGGAATTAGGTTGGATGGAGCCTGAAACGTTTGAAGATTAATGGCGCACTATTACTACTCAGGGCCAGTTGCAGTTCTTTTGATCGTGAGAATCGGGCCAATATGGATAACAAATATTCCAAATGGGACAAATTTTATTAAAAAAAAAAAAATTCAATCCAAATACAGTTAATATGATGTGAGAAACCCTAAAAAAGTGAAATTAGATTTGGGATAAACGTGCCTGGAGATGAAAAAAGTCGATTGAAATTCATATATTCATCACCGATAGAGGGTTTTTTTGAGGAAGCAATTTTGCTACTTATAAAGTTATTTACACAAAGGATTGAGAAACTTCTGGTGAAAATTTCAAAAAAAAATGCAAGATATTTATTTCTTCATTACCGCTCCACGCTAAATTCTTACCTTTCGGCAAAACAGAAGGGGACCATTTTTTCGTTGGTTTATCTAAATTTCGATCAGAAACTCATTTTTCTTGGATGCTTATGTTAATTTATTGAAATGAGACGATCTCTAGGGCTATTTTCGAGCAGATTGGATTCAAGAGAAAAGTGGGAGCTTTTTATCATTATTTTTATAAAGTCTTTTTTAGTCAAATTAAATTAACCCAACATAAGCACACTAGTGCACCATTTATATTATCAAATTGTTACGTTCGCAAAGGGACAAAACTTTACCGTAGTTTAATGCTGTGACATTGCAGAGGCAGAATTAACAATAAAACTTTTATGGCAAACTTAAATCCAGTTATAAACTGAATGAATTTCAAAATAAATTGAAACGGGCAACGATTTTTTTATAAACAGCCATCATAGCCATATATGTTATGTAATATTGCAGTAGTTTTGTTCGGACTATTATAATTTATGTCACGGCATTTATGCGGCAAATATTCAATTCGAAAAATATCCATCAGCCACCCCAATATTATTCAAGAGAAGCAGAAATGCAAAAAAAAGTTCGACTCGTCCTCTCGGCCGAAATACTGGAAATTTAATGAACATTCATCGAAGTTTTTCCCCATTTCTTAATAAGTATTTTTTCCCTTTTCCAGTCTATCGCGTTCATATTTTTTCGATAGTCATTTCGGAAAGAAAAAAGTGATAATTGGGACGACGGAGGGCTAAAGAGAATTGGATTTTTATGACTTAATTCGGCGAAAAATTGTTTTTTTTTTTTGTTGGTATAAGCACTTGGATTAGGGTGTGTTTAAAAATTATAAATTTTGTTTTTACAACGGAAAAAGGTTGACTTTTGATTCCAATGCCTGCAAACTTGAATTCGATTTTTGACTGTCATTCATTTGAAAGATTTCTTTTGCTTGCACAAACAATTATTCAACTTAAATTCTTACCTATTCTTATTACTGGTGGCAATCCTCCATAAACCGTAGCAATCCAAACACCAACTAATAAAATGAGTATTTCCATATCGAATCGCCACTATTGTTTCTCGTGTTACACGTAAATCCCCTATCTAAGCATGTTTACGGACACGACCACTTCATTTCTTGGCAACGACACGTGTGCAGCATCTATATCCGTCCAATATTTACTTAGGACAAAGGTACTCTGGACTGATGGTTCGATGTTTGACCAACGGCGTTCAAGTTTACTTTGGACTGAATTAATTATTCCAAATCAGATTTAATTGTGCACTTGCAACCTGAAAAACAATAAAAAAAAAGTTCATGTTATAATTATTGCAGTGTTAATGGATAATTTAAACTCCTAAGGTACAAAATATTTAACTAAAGTTCTCCCTCTGCGTCATTTTAATGATCTCTCTCCCTGTCGGCCCAACCGTGAATTTAAAGGTTAGATAATATATATCTCGCTGAAATTAAACTCTTTGGTAAAGTTTTATTACCTTCGTAGCGGTTAGTACAAGTTTTAAATGAGTCCCAACAAAAAGTCCTCTTCGCCATTTAAAATTTATCGCACGATAAATTCGCCTACCATTAATCAATAACTTATTTTGTCGTCCTTAATAAAGTAAAAGCCCGACAAAGTTACCTTGTAATTTGTTTTGCCCGCATTTGACAATTTCGAAACTTTAAAGCCTAATAAAAGGCAAATTATGCAACCCCTAAAAACTCCACTATTATTATTAAATTGGGCGGTTGAAGTTAAGGCACGTATCTAACCCAAAACACCAACAACAGGAAAATTGTCGTTTAAAATTAACATTCAAAATGCAGAAACTTGAATGCTCCAAACAATTTAACGTCGTTTTGCGAATAGGTGAATTTTGACCAAGAATTTCTATGAGCTAGAAAATTAACATTATCTCTCGAGAATAATTCGGGTTGAAATGTTATCTATATGGCTTGGGTGCTTACACACACCTGCCTGGGACATGATTCAAGGAAAGTAGAGAGAAAAAGAGTAAGTGTGAAGCTACTGGGAGTTTGTATTTCTATTGAATGGCTAATATTGCTCCCTGTTGTATTATTTCAATTAACCGAAGAACACTTTGAAGTAGCAACTTCATGTGACTAAAACTTGAGACTGTTCGAGAAGAATTCAAAGACTAATTTGAAAACGTCTACATCGTTGGCATCTAACCCTAGATGCATTCTAGAAATAAAATGATTGTTCTCTTCAGCAATGTATGAAGTAGTTGGACCCATTGAAAGATCTCTTGAGAATAAAGAATACACACTGGAGGGTGCATTCAGTAATGTAATGATTGAGTCCATTGAAAAATCCTTGGAGCACCTGACGACCAATAAGGTCGGTTTCCTAATAGCGAGTCACTTCCGGGTTGGGTTTTGTTACATAATTATTGTGAACCTGTTACTGGTTTCAGAAGTAGCCCAAGAAATTTATAGGTTTTTCAAAAAATTTTGCGAGTGCAGGCTGATTTTTTCAGAGCTGATTGGAGACTGTGTCCTGAGTATTGAGCCAAAAAATCACACTCGAAAGCCTTGTGCGTTCGGCCCTATTGGCCTTTTTCTTATTTATTTTTTTTTTTCGACAAAATCACCTTAACAAAACTTGTAGATAATAACATTCTGATCAACTTTGCCTCATGCCTTTTTTTGCTAGCTATTTTAGCTTAGGCGTTGAGGCCATTTCAGTGCTCTAGAGCGGCAAAGTAGTAAAAGCGCTTGCTTTTGCTACTGGTTTTTTTGAACCTGAACTATTTTTTATCAAATGCGATTGTAAAAAAATCAAGTATGCATTTGCCAATATCAACAATATCTTTCGATCGGCAAAGTATCACTTTGCGCTCTTAATACACAAATAGGCATTGTGCAACCATCCGCGAAATTCAATTTCGGGAAACGGGACATTTTACCTGCAAAATGTGTCTTATCCTTAGAAACGCTATGCATACCACAATGTCCACCAGGTCAAATTAAATTTTTCAAAAGCGAAAGAAATAAAGTTACAATAAAATATCACCAAGCAAAGTAATAGAGAATTTTATTAGGTATAATAATCTGCAGGATTGCTATTTAATTTTTTTTGCGAATTCTGAAGCACTAAAATGGCCACAGCGCCTAAAGTAAAATAGCTAGCAAAAAAAATCATGAGGCAAAATTGATCAGAATGTAATTATCTACAAGTTTTGTAAAGGTCATTTTGTCGAAAAAAAATAAATAAGAAATAGGCCAATAGGGCCGAACGCACAAGGCTTTCGAGTATGATTTTTTGGCTCAATACTCAGGACACACTCCCCAGTCAGCCCTGGAAAAATCAGCCTGCCCTCGCAAAATTTTTTGCGGCCCAGTTATAAATTTCTTGGGCTATAATATTTTAAAAAAAATATATACAGTTTGGACTTGGGACGATAATTACCCACAAGAAGAAGCATTTGTCTGATTAGAATATATAATAAGTAATGCTCCAGTTTTGACTTATTACGTATCTTCTCAACCAATAATTTTATCAACTGATGCTAGTTAGTATGTATTAGGTGGCTACATTAGTCAGAATGATAACCCTATTGCATATTGGTATATGCCACTCAATTCTGCTTAGAGAAATTATGCACAAATAGAAAAAGAGTTATCGAGTATAGTTTTGGGCTGTGAAAACTTTCATTATTACCTGTATGGTCGTCCATTTAATGCTATAACTGACCATAAACCTCTTTTGGGAATAGTGAATAAAGCAATTGAATCTTTATCACCAAGATTGCAAAAACTAACAATAAGATTAGTGAAATATGATTTTACCTTAAAGTATTTACGTGGAAAAGAAATGTTTATTCCAGATACTTTATCAACAACACCACTAAATACTGAAAAAACAACAGATTTTTAGATGATTTTCAAGTTAGAACGATTATAATGGCTTCAGATGAAAAATGCAATGATATATTAGAAAGTACTAATGCAGATCCAGCACTTGTTGAAATAAAATATTATTTAAGAAATGGTTGGCATAATCGAATATCTTCAGTTGGACAAGAAGCAAAACTATATTACCAATATAAAGATGAAATTTTTGAATTGGAAGAATTTTTATTTAAATAATTCCAAAAGATGATAGACTAGATGTATTAAATAAGATACATTGTGTCTATTGAGGGATTATTTCATGTCAGAAAAAAGCTCAAGATTTACTGTTTTGGCCTAATTTGAACGAAAATATGTCAAACAACATGATTTCATCATTTCAGCTTCAGCATCAAGTACCAGAGAAAATAAATACCTACGGGTCAAGTCGGATTAGAAGAGTCTGAAGAAATCGTACCACCCAACGTGACTCACAAAGAAGTAGTTAAATTGTTTTCAGACTTTTTTGAAATGGGCAGAACAAAATTCTGAAACAGCTGAGAACATTTTTCTTCTAAGGCCCAGTTCATTCATGCATCTTCCTTGTACCTAACTATCTGCAAGATAAATTTACCGTTTTATAATTCTATTGGTCGGCGGATAACTGGCCGACCAATGGGAGTACAAGTTGCGTTTTTATCGTTTAGATTGTATACCTAACAATTTATCAGAAGGTGAATGGACCGGCCCTCAAAGAAATGAGAAAGACGGCGGAAATGGAAGAAGCAGCCAGTATGAAGCCAAAAAAAAAAAATTACATTACATTACATATTTAAAAAAAAAAAGTGTCTGAAGCGTATTTTTGATTATTTGCAAATTTAAGTTAAATTTACCACGTATTTTGGTAATCCGAACGAATCGGTAAACCGAACTGACCTTAACAATAATTAGTTCGGATTATCAAGGTTTTACTGTACCTATTCCTAAATATTCTCAGAGTATTACCAAGTATTCCTAGGTATTCCCAAAGTATTTCCATCAAAGTGTACAGTGATTTCCACAAGTGATTCACTCTTCGATTTTCCTTAAATTTCTGCTTTTCAGTTCTAAAATTTTTCTGTCTAAATGTTTGTTTATACCCGGCTCTTGAATTGTTTTCTTCGAAATACCTCCAAACAGAGAAAATTCAAAAGCCTGGAATATAGGAAATAATAGCATACTCATTATGTCTACTCTATTAGAAGTGTTCCAGTCCCAGAAAAGAAAAGATCATGATAGTTAAGGTCATTCGTTCGGATTATCAAGGTTGTACGTACTTTATATCAAAATGTGATCGAGTGTTTTATCATTATTTGAGTTATTGAAAGGTGGTTTTCCTAGAATTTCTTTTATTGTTGTTTTTCACTTAATCAAATTGAAATTTTAGTATAATGAACTTCTAACCTTCTTCTTTTTACTCCAAAAGTTTCAAAATTTTCCCTGAACTTCTTTTCCAGAAAATATATCAAAATTTGACACAGTGCTTTTTCATTATTTGAGTTATTGGAAGGTGATTTTTCTAGAATTTCCTCTGTTGTTGTTTTCTACTGAATCCACTTGAAATTCTAGTATGATGAACGTCTTATATTTCTCTTTTTACTCCAAAAATCTCAAAATTTTCTCCTTCTTGGTTTTCCCAAAATATATCAAAATGTAACAGAGAGATTTTTCTAGAATTTCTGCTGTAGTTGTTTTCTACTGAATCCACTTGAAATTCTAGTATGATGAACTTTTAACCTTCCTCTTTTTATTCCAAAAATTTTAAAATTTTCGCCTTTTTGATTTTTCCAAAATATATCAAAATGTGCCAGAGTGTTTTTTCATTATTTGAATTATTAGAAGGTGATTTTTCTAGAATTTCTTCTGTTGTTGCTTTTCAGTGGATCCACTTGAAACCCTAGTATGCTGAGCTCCTAACCTTCCTCTTCTCACTTAAAAAACTTGAAAATTTTATAATATGCGTAATATACATCCATTTTCTATTGATCAATGTGAATGATTACTCATACAGTGGGTTTTTTTTTTTCATTACTTAATTGTTTTCAACCAATGAAAATATCCTGGCCTCATTATTCCACTATTTGGGAGCCAATCAGAAAATTCGACAAGCTGACAAGATACTTCAATTTTCCAATCGGTCATTTTGACAGCTGATTTGGACAAGGCTTGTGCTAACCTAACCTCACTTTGTCCTCCAGCTGTCAGATTTGTCAATTCATTTTGTTACGAAAAACCGCATAACTCGTGCCTATTATCTATAATTCATAGAAAAAGTATAGTATTCTACTCGTGAGTAATGGCTATTACTCACTCGGATGATTACACTACTCGCCTGCGGCTCGTACTGCAAACTTCATCCTTCGTGAGTAATAGCCATCATTACTAGCTCGTTGATTAATATACTATTAGTTGATTAATAATTATTAGGCAATCCAAACCAGGTGACATTCAAGATGGCGTAGCGGCCACACATGGACCAAAAAGTACATTAAAATATCTAGTTTCTGGCCGACTTAATAGTTTACGTACCTAGTGAACTATTGAATAATCAAAATCAAAGCTGCAAGCAAAACTCGAAGCAAAATAATTATTATATACATGAAAATACATATTCAAAGCAAACTTGCTGGCCGCCACGCCATATTGAATTTTTCGTTTTGACAGATGGATTGGATTGCCTAATAAACAATCTCATTCACATACATAACCCAACTTTTGTTTTTGACAACATGAAACAACGTTGCCAAATTTATTAAAGTTTGCGCATTCAACCGACGTAACTGTATTATTTTTTAGAACTCGAGAACGGCTAGACGATACACTGATCTCCTTGAAATTTATACCACGTAGTGGTGTTGAGTCGTATCGTAATAAATTTAACACTCTAAGAGCCGGTTTATCAATCAAGGGATAACTCGAAGAGTTTGCTGACCCTGGGTCAACTCTAACTCTGAGGTAACTACCCAGTTAAGGGCCGGTTTATCAATAGAGGGTTACCCCATGAAATACGGATAACCTTGGGTCAACTGCTAACTCGAAAGTTATTCCAGGAAAAAGTTAACCCGCACTCTCGCGGCAAGTTAACATATTTGACCCGAAGTTAACCTCAACATTTTATCTAATTTTTTTTGAAAAGTGCTAGTTTTGGTTGAATTTTGATATTGTGAAGAGATGTAGGACCTGGATTTCAGTGATGATGGTCAAGATGTTCTAGAATTTCTGGAACATGCATGAGCGGCGCTTCTACCACAGGCACCTAAGGTATCGGTCGACGTCCACTTCTTCGCACGTTTTCGCTTACGGAAAGAAACAATTTTATTTATTCTAGAAAAAATCGAGCATAGACTTGAATTCCCAACAAACCTATGTTTGTGGAGAATTCGAGTATAATATTTATTTCTACACAGAATACACGAAACCAAACTTTTCGCTTTCCGCTAGTGGGTATTCTCATCAAATAAGTAGCATGCGATCTACGACTTGCTGCTAGAAAGCAGGAAGCATACTAATACGTCTGTTTCTGCAGAAATCACAAACCAGTCGGAGCAAATAACCAATGAAATTCACTCTGACTGGTTTGTGATTTCTGCAGAAACAGACTTATTATTTTCGAACCTTGACCTAGAAATATATGCCTGGTTTCACACCGGAGTGATTGGAATATGTAGATATATTTTAATAGTTTGCGACATACTTGCAAGACGCACAAACGTTGTTTATTTTGTTGTGTAGAGGTATATCGATAAATATGGTAGCACTGTGTGAGTTTGGTATGAATGTAAACATGGAAAACTTAAGTTGCAACGTGCTCCCTGCTTTCTAGCAGCAAGTCGCACGCATGACATAATATATGCCTTTTCAAATCGCTTTCCGTTTGAATTTTGCTTTGCAAGTGTCAAATTCAAAAGGATGAATATCCGAATGTGTTAATATATGATTTTTCAGATGGTCTTCTTCATTTGAATTTTGCTTTGTAAGTGTTACGTTCAAAAGATTAAATATCCAAGTGTGATAATTTGTGCCTTTTCAAATCGCTTTTTCGTTTATATTTTACTTTGCAAGTGTCACATTCAAAAGGATAAATATCCGAGTGTGTCACCATGTGCATCTTCAAAACGCTCTTTATTTTAAATTTTGCTTTACAAGTGTCACATTCAAAAGGATAAATATCCGAGTGTATTAACATGTGCTTCTTCAAAACGCCTTTTGTTTTAAATTTTGCTTCGCAAGTGTCACATTCAAAAGGATGAATATCCGAATGTGTTAACATGTGCATTTTTCAATTGCCTTTTTGTTTAACTTTCACTTTGCAAGTGTCACATGCAAAAGGAGAAATATCCGAGTGTGTTAACATGTGCCTCTTCAAAACACCTTTTCGTTTAAATTTGTAAGTGTATTTGTAATTTTTCCGTACATACCTATTATCCGAAATAATTATTATTTCAAGCTGCTGACCCAGTTTTCACAAACAAATAACAACATAAACGAATTTAAATTGTCGAATAATTAATGAATATATTTTTGTTGCGTCAATTTGTTTTGGCTACATTTAATTTGGTCTCTATGTAAATTATTTTACGAATTATAATTTGTTTATCAGAGACAGATAATGGCTAAAATATTCGAGCAGTATTTGAAATAAACATAATAAACGTAGTTTTTGTTGAGACAAAAGAAAATTCGAAACGTAAACATAAAGGCAAAAAAAATTCGAAACCGAACATGTTTTTGTGTGTAAGCTACAAAACTGAAATTAAATGCAGTTTCTATTTGCTGATAAAGGACGGGAATTTTTCAATTGCCATCGCTGCATAGCACTGAGATTAGTTTTTTGCAATTTTGAAAAAAGGCGGCGTCGACACTGAGTCAGGTACAAAGGGCCAAGATTCATACAGGTGGAAAAAACATTTTAAGGTAATGACCATGCCCTTCTGAATTGTGTTCAAAGTTTCATTTGAAATTCTCATTGGATACTTAATTTAAGTGATTTTTACATTGGTTTATCAATTTTTTCTCTGTATTTTTCAATTTTTTCGTCGCAGTATTTGTCTATTTCAGGCTCGTGATTTTTTTTTACTTCAAATCATTCAAAGTGAAGAAAATTCGAGAGGCAAAAGTATACTGTCTTCTTCTTATCTATGATGCTTTTTCCCAAATTTTCTTAAATGTTTTCTCTGCATTTCTCAATTTTTGTCTATTAGCGGCTCTTGAATGTTTGTGGGCTCCAAATTTCTCTACATTGAGAAAATTCAAAAGCCTGGAATGGAAAAAAAATCAAGTTGTCTGACAAGTTTTTGTAAATTTCTCTCAAATTTCCTCTGCGTTTCTCAATTTTTTTGTCACTGTTTGAATCTAATCCCGACTGGTGAATGTTCCCTGCCTTCAAATCTTACCGAAGAAGAGAAATTTGTGAGCCTGGAATGGAAACAATATGCCTCTAGTTATCTTAATTTTCTCAATTTTTCAATATTAATTTTTGTATATTCTCGACTCTTGAATGTTTGTTTCAAATGAAGAAAATTCAAGGGCCTGGAATAGGAAATATGTTTCTACTTGTGTACAAGTTCTTCCTTAATCTTTTCTATCTAAGAATTTCATGAGAAGAATTCAAGAATCAAAAATTTAAATGTTTTCTCTGCATTTCTCAATTTTTGTCTATTAGCGGCACTTAAATGTTTGTTGGCTCCAAATTTCTCTACATTGAGAAAATTCAGAAGCCTGGAATGGAAAAAAAATCAAGTTGTCTAAAAATTTATTGTAAATTTCTCTTGAATTTCTTCTCCATTTCTTAATTTTTTTGTCAGTGTTTAAATCTATTCCCGACTGGTGAATGTTCCCTGCCTCCAAATCTTACTGAAGAAAAGAAATTTGTGAGCCTGGAATGGAAACAATATGCCTCTAGTTATCTTAATTTTCTCAATTTTTCAATATTAATTTTTGTATATTCTCGACTCTTGAATGTTTGTTTCAAATGAAGAAAATTCAAGGGCCTGGAATAGGAAATATGTTTCCACTTGTGTACAAGTTCTTCCTTGATTTCTTCTTTCTATGAATCTCAAGAATAATTCAAGAGTCAAGAATTGAATTTTCTCTTTTTATTTCTCAATTTCTCTACGTTAAAAAAAAAATCAAGATGATTATATTTTCTCTCTACATTCTCGGTAAACTTTCTCTTAAAATACCATCATTATCATAACATCAAAACCAGAAACAAACAAGCCCAAGTAGCAAACTTAAACTTTGTTGAACTTGCAACAAGTTGTAGACAGAAGGTGCTATGATCAAGTGTTAACATCAATTTACCAGAATTTCAAGTTGCAGGAAAGTTTATTGTGACAATAAATTTTGATTCACTTTATAAAAGAAGTTTGTATACATAATTTTTCTCCTCACCCAAAGAAAAAATTCACTCATTGTGATTCCATCTAAGACACAAAAATGTTCTCACAAAACTCTCGCAAACTCTTTTCCGATCGCGGTCAATTCCGTTCCGAGTACCTCGCGAGCGTCGCGACGCTCTTCACGCAACGCCACCCGCAACTTCACTGGGCTCTTCGCAAACGGCCGGCGCCATCGTCCGGGTATCGCGACGCTCCACGACTGGGACAAGGAGGACGTCTTTCTTCGGCTACAATAATCGTTCTATTTTTATTGTTTAGAGATTTATTTTGTCCCGGGAGTAACTGCCCCGGAAAGTTACTTTTCGGAACATTGTTCTGTTTTGAATCATATACTTTGTCTGGTGGATATGTTATAAGTTTTCATCTACTCCTTGATTTAAGCTTCTGCCATACTTGTCTTGTTTTGTTTTAAAATGTAGATTGCAATAGTGCCGGTCTATTTTTTAGGCAAAGCTGGAACCCAGTTTATGTATTCTAAGAAACCAACGGTTTATGTTTGTCAGTGACAATGAATGTTAAGAGCTCTTTGCATGATGCTGGGTACCCTAACAGTAATTATATTTTTCGTTCAGTAAATCTTGTTTTTAAAAACTATTTATTTTATTAAAAAACTAAGAAGTTACAACAAAAAATACTAGACTCTAATTGCTGCGGCGAAAAGCCGATAACAAAAGAATCTTGATTCTAAATTGCTATAGTCTAAGCTACAATACAAATGAATGTGCTGAGAAGCTCTGCGCGCCGTATTTATATTAAAATATCGCTGACGGTGCAATCATGTGGGCGAAACTTTGATATGACGGTACTTTTCCAAACAGTACCGCTTATTCAGTATCTTTATAATTTTGTGGGCTTTCACAGTGGCGTACGCTATATTTAACATTGAAAAGGAGAATTATGTATATAATATAACTTAGTCAACAATAAATGAGTGACTATATTGAACTTAAATGCGAAACCTATCGATTCCAGGACAAATTCTTTCACAGTAACCAACGAGTTAAACTAGTTGCCTCTTGTCTAATTCGATTTAAGGGTTGATTATTTATCCCAGTTAAGTACTCCAGGTGATCCAAGGGTTCGTTATTAAGTGTAGACAGAATGTATAAATAATAGGCCTGAGGCCTTGTGCATAAATAAACTCGATGCTAAGAGAAAGGGGTTATGGTAATCCTGTTATAAGGAACTTGTAGTAACTTCCAAACTTCAACACTAATTTATTGGCTTATTATTATCGTGTATAGTTTTCATCAAAGTCGAAATATTTCTAAAACAATTTTTGAGAGAAACCGATTACATACAAAACGACATGTCAATGTTCAAAGTCACGATTTTTCTGTCTTTGAAGGCAAACATTTCTTTGCGAACTCCATGAAATTTTAATTTTCGTTCCAGTCGCCCAGTGACAGTTCGAAATTTAATTCCCGAAAGTAAAAGTCTCGATGTTTTTTTTGTTTTATTTGTTTATTTATTTATATTACTTTTAGAGATTTTTTTCCATTATAGCTTGACACTTTTTTTATAATACCTAATTTGGAAACAGCAAAGTAATATTAATTCACCACAAACAATATTTCTTTGGAAACGTTTTCCAGTAAAATTCAATTTTCCAGAAATACATGGATAAATAACTCTTAGAGCAATAATTGAAGCTCAAACGGACCAGCAAATTTGTCGACTCAAAAACTTTCCAGTTTTGTTTGAAATTCTGCTCGTATTTGCATCAATGAAGGACCCTCAAAAGTAAATCAAGCTCCAGGAATTAGTCAAAACATAATTCTATTTCCCAGGAAGGAGATAATTAAAGCCAATCAATATGCCACGTGCCGAATATCTGTCAATTCCGATAAATTTACCCGGGGGGGAAAAAAAAAGAGACAATTTATTATTAGGTCACTGAAAAAATCCAATAAAACGAATCGTGTAAATTTACTGGTGCACTACCCGAAATCTAGGGGATTAGACTTTCTGGACCCCGCTTAATTGTCAGATTCAATTTGGAAAGCGTCGGGTTTGCCGGCCAAGATTTAATTTATTTAGCATGAAAAGTGATTATGAGGCGGCAAAAGACTACGATTTCGTGGTTTATGATTTTCGAAATGTAATGAATTTTCAAAGTGTGCGTGTTTGGATTATTGTTTTCATTTTGGTAAAATATATACACTTGATTATTGAGAAAAAAACAAACAAAAAATGCCTCATATGTTTAATTCTACGATGTCATATAAGAAGATCTATTGGAACGATTTGCTTGAATTTCATTTGGATCAACATAGGGGACGATATTGGCCCATTGATGAAGATGATGATTAAACAAATATTGTACTCGAAAATATTATCGCATGTGACATTTGGAGGGAAGGAAGTTATCCTCTAAAAGTAAAGTTTGTTGTTGTTGTTGCTGGATTATAGCTTTGCTTCTAGGCAATCTGCATTCCAGCTCCATTTGGTAGTGACCACTATAGTCTGGTAAGTACCATTTCGTGATCACCTATTGTACTTAATTCAAAATGTAAGCTTTTTATTTTATTTTTTATTGGATGACGGGTATGTATATTAATCAAAATGGACAACAAAGGAATCCCAGAAGCATAAAAATTCAACACAAACATTACAATTTAAATTTATTGATGCTTAAAAACTTAATTATTAAGCTGATTGTATCGCAATTTGGTTTCGCCATTATTGAGAATATAGTGATACGAGAACAAAAATTCAACAAAATAAATTCTCTATATAGATCCAGACCTGGAATGATGTTAATAGGACACTCAAAGAATATGTGATTGAGGTTTTCCAACTGACCACACTCACCTAGCGGATCATCTTTCAGTCTCAGTTTATATTTGAATTTCCCGGTCAAGTTCGCTAATAGTAATAACGTGTCTACGTATATTAACAAACCATTTTTTATTAGGAAAACTCTCCTGCACTTTGATGGTTTTTATTTTGCACCCAGGTTAACCACTGGGTAACAAACCGGGATTTCCTAGCAGCTTTGACAGTGTTTAGAATATCAATTGCATCCAACTTCATAGCTTTAGGAACTGTTAAGATTCTGCCTATATTGGCCAGTTTATCAGCTACTGTATTACCTAGAATCTGAAATATCAGCGTATCTTGATATCCAGGCTAGATTTATGTTATAAACGTTATTATTTGCTATGGATAGTTTAGTTTTCGTTCTGCCTTGGCAGCATATAAATTGGATTGCACTCTTAGAGTCTGAGAAGATTATTATATTCTCAAGTTTCTTCCTGATAACCAAGAGAATTGCTTCGTGGAATGGCTATTATCTCAGCCTTGCAATGCTAATTACATCATGCAGTCTTTCTGAAAAATTATATTTCAGTTTTGGAATTTTTATTCCATACCCACCAAAGTAAATAAAGAGACATATTTTTCTAAAAAGAAATTAAATTTTTCTTCGATAATTAGTTCTCCCTTGTTCAGTTTACAGCCGATAAATCTAATAGGACTAGTGTTCGTTTTTTTTATCATTCCGAATCATTGTTAAAGGTCAGAGAAGACAATACTAGTCACTAGAGCACTTATATTTAAATTTTCACCCGTTAAATACTTAATTTCTTTACTTCAAAAATCTCTAGAGTTCGCACATAATGTTGAACAACTTTAAATGTTCTTTCTTTCACAATTTTTCGTACTTTTTCAAAGATTCGATTAAACCCGTTTTCCCGAGGCAACAAAATAAAATAAACCCTTCGCGAATTTTATCCGCACTGACTCATTAGGTACTGTAGACTTAAAACTGAACTGGACTGAACTAACAACTGATCCTCCACTTCTAAAACCGCCTTTATTTATATTATTCGTTCCCCTAAAAATTCCTATCCATCATTCATTAACCTTCCTTTCCTATTTGTTTAAAATCGAATAATTATGTCGCAATTTCCTGGTTTATCGGGGTCAACAGATTTCGTATAAGAATGTGAGGATATATAACTTAAAGAAAACCGACAACACGTGCGGCTATAATTCACCTATTTAATTACTCTAGCCTCGCTTTCAATATGTTCATTGATTTGATTTAGGAGAAGACATCACGCTTGGTGACTAAATAATAAAATTGAACGTATATAAATATTTTAATTAATTTGGTGTCAACGTTATTTTGTTTCATTTTCAATTTGTTGATACTGATTTGAAATACAGGAAATTCAGTTTTTGATTATTTGATTATATTAAATTTTTACAGTTAAGACATTGTAAATTAAGGGTCTATTTTCTTGGGTCATTACACTGTGTTTTTATTAGGTTTGGGGTAATATCTTGTTGTAGATATCAAGCAGCTGCAGCAGTGAAAAGATTTCCAGTTATAGCATAGGAAAAATCATCCATACCAGCAGCAGATAGTTTTTTACTCTGTAGGGCAATGCTGAGTTCTTGTAAATTAAAGGGTTTAATGGTCGTTTCTACCAACTATTTTAGGGAAGCCCTAACGATAAGTATTCCCGAAACTGACATTTCTCCATGGAAAACTATCTCCATGGAAAACTGTCAGTTTAGGGAATACTTATTGTTGAGGCTTCCCTAAAATTGTTGGTGGAAACGGCCATAAGAGAGTTATTTTCATATTGATGATGCATTTGAAATGATGGATCTTTGTCTATCTTTGTCATGTTATCAGGTATAGCTTTCTTAAGATCGCCATTTATAATGGAATCTTTTGGTTTATAATTGGTGTTATACGAAATTTTTTTGATGTGGTTTCATATACATATAAGTAATGCTGGTTTCTGTTTTGTAGTATCGCTCTGTAACTATCTCGAGGGGACATTTATAACGCTATAGGGATAGCGAACCAACCAAAAAAAGAAATATGAGAAAAAAAGAGATCAAAAATTTTCGAAATTGTAATATTCAACTTACCAGCCAAGGTATAAACAACAGATTAGTAGGGTGAACGAAAAACCCTGAAAATTGGCGTTAAATTCTCTCATTTTTAGCTTTAATCACTTTGAAGCTCGGCGATCGAATGCTAAACTTAGGTATTCTTTACAGCATTTTGATCCGAACGAGCCGAGCATGCACCGAGCATAATTTTTTTTTCCGAACTGAGCGCGCCAAACTTTATCAGTAAATGTTCGTTGTTCAAAGAGATTAAGTTCGCTTTATTTGTGCGCGTTTGGGTCCTTCGGTTTGTTCGGCCAAAATGCTCTAATATACCCACCTTTAAGGTAGGTATTCATTAAGAGCGAACTACACTT